GGTGGCTGGAGGTTGGGGTCCTTGCCTGGACTCTTTGGACTGTTCGGAATAAGCTTGTGATCGAGCGTACCCCTCTCCGTCGTGCTAATGACGCTCTCTACAAATTCTTGGGTTTCCTGCAGCTTTGGCGGCCGCTTAGCCGTCCCCTGGAGCGCGACGCCATCTCTGCCTTCATCGCCGATCTTCGCTCGATGGCCGTCCGCCTTTCGCCACCGCCGCCGCCGCCGCCGCCGGAGCCTGACTAAATCCCCGGCGCGGGTCTCGCTTTGTTTTTTCTCTTTCTTTGGGCTTGTTGAGCTGTGCCCTCAGCAGAACCTTATGACTTTGTTGTGGTACTTGGGTGTGTGTGTGTGGACTTGGTGTGGTTGTATGTCCTTTGGCGGTCTGCTTTATCTATAAAGCGGGGCAAAAGCCTTTTTCGGTAAAGATGACCCCTGGAGGAGCGAAGAATTCCGAAGATGATCCCACCAGGAAAAAAGTGGTGACTGATATTGGGGCTGGAGATGATTCTTTTGTCAGATAGGAGGTTTCTGAGCTAGAGGAAATCCTGATTAGTTGAGTCATTTTGCAACTCAAAGAAATTTGTTAAAGTTATTTGCATAGAAGTGGTGTATGTGGTATACTAAAAATTCAGAAAATTTCTGATTTTATTTGGTTGGATTTTGGTGTATGCATGAACTTTCCTTCTTATTATAGTGTATTGCATCTTATTTTGGCCTGCACTGTGTTTCACTAAATTTTCACTGTAATCCGAGAATTTTAGAGTTTCAAGATTCAGAGATACGTATTTACCAAGACACATACTATCATATCAGAGCTGAATCAAGACACATACTATCATATTCTAATTACGCCAATAGAGCCACCGGATCAAATAGATAAGTAGAACTCACCTCACGGAGAACGCTGAAGACGCAAACTGCGAAGAAAGGAGTTCCTTCACATTGATAGTATTAAGATTTAAGAGAATATAGTGCATTCTGAATTGGCATATCAGCAATCTTTTTGTTTGTCGTCTATAACTATCAAGATGATCCGGTAGACAACCATCAGACAGAATACTAGAGGAAGATACAAACAGGAAGAATATCTTAATAATCCAAGAAATAAACACGATTTTTCTTGGATACACTCAACAAAGATACTTGTTGACAAGCCTATCACAATCTGCTGAAAAACATACACAAATTAGAACAAATTTCCAGTGGTACTTCTACAAGGAAATTCAACAAGCTCTCACATGGAACAATTTTATCGATAGAATATTTCAAAAGGTAAATGCATTGCACCCCAATCAAGTATTCACTATACATCATGAAAAAGATTACGGTGAAATCTTTGCCTTATTGTTACAATTTTTGCTATTTGTCAGAGTGAATCACCAAAGAAGAGTTGAATGACATGTTCAATTCATGGCGTAAAAATTTAGAGTTCTTCAACTTCTTATGGCACTGGCAGCTTCAGTTGGGCTTCTGAATTCGCGGCGATCATCGACAGGTTGAGCTACTGCACGTGCTTGTGGTTGTGCTTGTTCTCATAGGTGACATGCATGATCCCGGCATTACCGCAATACAACACCATGTGCTTCCTCCCAGCGTAGTCCTTGATGCTGCTGCATCTGTAGAACCCCCATGCACTATATTAGTTCATACTGAATCACTTTATTTAGTTAGCACCTAAAATGAAAGGGTGCTCATCTCATCTTATGCTAAGTAACATGCATGAAACCCCTATAGCACAATGCTGATGGGTCAAACATCTGAAGCTTTGGTAATATGAATGCCCAACAGTTTCAAGCAAGAAATCAACACATATATAACTGGAGTAAGAAATGAAACTGTGGTGTTTTCCATTAAAATTTCCTTTAGTGAAAACATTCTAGGCAGAAAATGGTATTCTAAAGACAACAACCCAGCCAGAAAAATGGAAATAAGAATTATTCTAGTACCAACATCTAAGGTTGAAAAGAAACCTACTCCCTCCGTTTCTAAATATAAGTCTTTTTCAAGATTTATGTAGTCCATATTGGAATCTAAAAAGGCTTATATTTAGGAATGGAGGGCGTAATATTTAAGGTAAAAACTGGATATACCCATATACACATAAATTTCTTTTATCTGTATAGAACAAGTAGTAACATCATGAATCTCAAACTGAAGACAATGGCCTGTCAACTAATTGAAGCTTCTAGTTAGATCCATGCATAACAGAGGCAGAAGATATAGAAACACGTTCATATGAGAGCTACCTACACTTTATTTTGCATGGAGAGGGTCGTCTATTCCTGAATTACAAAATTCAGCATCCAATTGATTGATAAGATTTTAGTCCTCAAAAAATGTATTGATGAATTTCTATCCAAACCTGTACAAAAACTGCAAGTTCTGACGTTCTACATTGCCCAAACAATATATGGACCATGATGCAGGTGAGCAAATGTACAACTGTCTTTTGAGTTCCTTGCAGATTGCAAAAGGAAACAAGAACAGTGAACCAGCCGCTAATTTGCATTACTAATTGTGGAAATTCATCAATACATTTGCTGAGCACTAAAAGATTATCATCTTTTTTCAACTGTGAAAAGTGGCATGCCTGGGATGCCTTTGGTGATATAATTTCTACCTGAAAATTAATGACATAATTTCATAATTTTTATGTGAAAATCAATGGTGGCACACAAGCAGCTCAAAATTGATAGGAAACTCTACAAGAAGTATGTCAAGTATTTAGTTCAACTCCAACATGAGGTATACGTATATCTACTTTAAATCCATACCTGGATGATAGGAAAGTCACATATGCACTCTAAACAAACAGAAATCCCAGAAATCATTTCTTCTATCTCTAGTAGGAAATTTTAGCAGCACCTCCAGGATCTACATTAGGTACTAACATTACAAGAATGTTCGGAGGAGCACTAGCTCTATAGGTATGACTCTAAGTAACAGAACAAGGACTTTTCTGAACAATACAAGTTATTTGCAGTGAGATTTGCACATCATGTAGTGTGGTACAAACCTATATTCTAGAACAAATTCTTTCTCCCATAGCTTCCCTAAAAAAGGGCAAGGAAAATCCAATGAGTTTGATAAGGCATCAAGCCATAGAACCAAAGTTGACTCACAAAACAGGAATTCTGCATAGAAAAATATAGTATGTTTTGATGGAGTTCATCGTCATTGATGACAGCAGGTAGAGCAGACTTACAAGGTGAGGCCTCACCTGGATCCCTACAACAAAAATATTGAACTCTTGAGCTAAAGAATTAGTTGTGCTTCAATTTAAGGATACAACATGAAGAAACTACACTAGTTGGAGACAAATACCTTTCTTTGGGATTGAATATTGGCATATCCCTGAAAATAAGGAAACAATAGAAGAACTTAGACAAAAAAATTACCATCTAGCCAGCACCCAAACTACAAGCTGAAGAAAAATTGCAAGTAGCTAGATGCTGAGGTCGCAGCCATGCTAGCTTTATGGCAGACGCCGCAGGACAAATTCTCATGATATGAGGCCTTAGCATAAGCATTTTAAATTTCACATAGCATGTTCAATTTCGTCCTGCTATCATCACAGCAGGCACGAGTTACTTCTTGACAAGTGATTACCCCATCACAACTTACCAACCCCGTTTAGATGACAAACTCATAACACAAATAATCTGATGCACTCTTGACGGCACAAAAAAGATTAGTCTATCAAAAATAGGTAGGAAAGTCACCAAGGGGATGGAAGCGGCCACGTTCGAGAGAGTCAAGGGGCGGAGCTTGACCGCATGGGCGCATGAATTAGGAGAAGTGAACAAAATTGAAGAGGAGGTCGATGATACATACTACCATGACGAGTCAACGGCGGCAAGCGAGATCTCAGGATCCTTTCAACCAAGGAGACGACACGGGCGAGCGCTGCCCTGGCGCTGAGGTCGAGGTTAGACTTGGCGCCGCTGCATCCGCTGAATTGGATCTCGCTGGCGGGCGAGCTATTCTCCTTATGCAAAGCCACAGTTCCTAGTTCGCCGCCGCAGGGATAGAGTGGCCTGCTCTGCTGGACTCCGGGGAAGAGGAGCCGCCATGGCTAGTGCGGAGCAGGTCGGGGGTAGCGGTGGTGGACAGGTCGTCTGACGGAGTCGGTTTGGAAAATGACAGAGACCTCCCACTGTCCCACGAAGCCACGACCCACGATCCATAGTGGGTTTCTCCCGATTATTTTAGCAGTACAGAGACGCGCAAGGTAAATTTACCTCGCAAGTTCGGTCTTCTTTTTGCCAGGGCCATGCGGGAGGTAAATTTATGTCACAACCTTTGTTTCTTTCCTGAAGTGTGTGATTCGGCCGGGGTGAGGAATAAGAATTCCACCCCAGTCCATCTCTCATGGCCATTTGAAAACGTAAGAAAGATGTTCCTGTGAGGTAAAATTACAGGCTGAAACTGAAAAGAGAACTTCTATTCCGTAAAGCAAAAGACCGTAATATTATCTCCTGCATGCTAGTAAATTACTTCGTGCATGTGTGCAGCCTATATGGCCCATCAACGTGCCAGTATAGAAATCAACCGATGTTGCCGTAATCTTACGGAATAAGTTTTAATCTGGAGCATTTTATGTAATCTTAGGCAATGAGTAGCTAGATCTGTTACTATTTCTATTGGACCGAGTATACACCGGGTCTAGCAAAAATGAAATCAGGTCACTGATTTAACTAACATATGCCATCACTATCTCAGTTCTGTACCAGCATTTTTGGTTAACATAAGGCCATTAATTCATCTTGTACACAAGGGCATTTTTAGTAACCACGGAATAAGAAAGTTGTCTAATATAATAGATAGATACCATGTACTGGTTCTGACTACAAATAAAATTTGTTCTGACATAATTGAACGCCACTTAGCACTAAGTAATCAGCGGCATGCAACATTCAACAATCACTATTACAAAACTGAGTGTTGCCGAACTTGAAATCTGAGTACCACCAAACTTGAAAACTGAGTACTGCCGAGCTTGATCTTCAATTAGCTTATTTGCAGGCGACCAGAGATATCCCATCAACTTCATCTGTTCAGCAATCTCTCCAGGACTATAGAGATTAAAGCATTCTAATCCATGGGCTGGAAGCAGCATAGTATCTTGTTAAATTGCACTGTAGCCTTTAGGTTCACTTTTCTTCTCGCCAAAACCTGAATTTTGCTACTGTTCATTTGCAAAAGAAGTTCTGAAATTTCAATTTAACATTACTCATACCCATCCTAAATACAAAAACGTTACTCTCTATCCCTCATATATTAGCTGTCAACCACTTGAACAGATACCTGTAAAACAGAATATTTTCAGTTCTCAGAAGTACAACAAACATGTAGAGGCAATTGAAATATATCAACTCGAATTTGCAGCATGCTTGAATATTGACAGGCTCCGTGAGGCAATTGAAATATATCAACTCGAATTCTGCACCTTGAGAAAGTTCTGAACCCTTCCTTATAGAGACCGTCGACAAAATGCAGATCAAAAGTGAAAATCCAGATT